GAGATCATTTCATTTCTCCTTCTTGTTACTGATTTCTAGTTTCATTTGCAACCTCGTTTCCCAGTGCACGGCTAGAATAGTCCTTCTTCCACGTTCAGTAAACTGTGCTGTCCTTCACCCTTGCGACAAAGCCACAGACATAGGCTTCTGTCATGGCAATGACTTCTCTAATAGTCAAGAAACATGGGTGTGTCGCACAGAACAATGGCTCCCCGAAAAGGTCTATGGGTAATACCCAGACCCTGTGAATATATTACTTTATATGACAAAAGAGATCTAGGAAAAATGATGAACTTAAGACTCTTGATCTTGGAAGATTATCCTAGACTAAGGGCCCAGTGAATGAATTTGTGCACCTTGAAAGGAACTGTGGGCTGCAAGGCTGCAGTGGGCACAGGGGCAGGTCTCAGCCCATTCTCTACACTCCTGCCCAGCCCCTCCCACAGTGGCCACCAGTCCCTTGTCTCTCTGCAGCCTCACTCCCCCCGCCACCACTCCCACACGCTGACAGCGCCGGCCCCACTCGCACCCACTGAGGGCACAGAGAGATTTGGAGGAGCTATTTGGGCCAGCACCAGCAGCAGATGTGTGCAGTGGCTGCTGCCCCGATAACCCCTCATGATCAGGGTGAGGTGGAAAAGCCCCCAGAAGCAATAGGAGCCAGCATCCACCGCTTGCATCTGCTGAGGGTGCCGAGCAATCCAGGCACCAGCAGCCAGTGCGAGTGGCGAGTGGCAGATCCAGCACCAGGAGAGGGTGCAAGCGGGGCCAGCACCAGCAGCAGGTGTGAGCGCTGGGCAGAACTGCAGCACACAGGAGCAAAGAATACTCAGTAACCACCAGAGACTCATCCCAATGACAGCGATCGGCATCCTGCCTTGGCCTGGCAGCCCCGCTCACCTACTCCACCATCCCGCCGAGGCCAATGCCCGCCATGTTCAGCACTCTGCTGCCTTCTTCTGACACCTGCCATGTTCTACACGCACCCCCTGGTGGTCATCACATGTCATAGCAACCGGTTGTTCGGTTGTTCATTTGTTCCACCACTTGGTCTATTTGCATAGTATTCTTTTATTATACAGGCTATTCCAGGTGGGCCCAGTATAACCATAGGAGTCCTTATATAAAAGGTGGCAGAAAGTCTAAGTTAGAGAAGGACAAGTGACAACAGAAGCAAGAACTCGGAATGATAAGAAGACGAGACCCATGAGAAAAGGAATGTGGGCAACTCTACACTTTGGAAAAACACAGGACAGGGCTTCCAGATGACATGCAGCTCAGTTAAAACCCACAAATTGGCCCAATTACATTAATATGGAACTTCTGACTTCCAGAACTATAACATAATTTCTGTTGTTTTAAGACACTTAGATTTTTGTAATTTGTAAAGCAGCATTAGTAAACTAATAGAATGTAGTTATGCATAAGGGAAAAAACACTTTTACTTCTTATTTGAATGACATGTTCATTGTGCGCTGGGGGCTCTGCACATCATGTCATGTACCCAGGCTGATGAAGTTGACCCCATCATGACATGTGTGCCTCCGTAAAAGCCGAATTTGATCTATACAGCTTCTTGCAGTTAAGTGCATATCCCACAAACCACAGCCACTATCTCTGCTCACAAATTAGTGATCTGAAGCTGTGCCAGGGTCCCACCCAGTGGTGAGCTGCAGAAATGTGACTCCTCATGAGGCCAGAAAGTGGACAACCAGGAAACTTGGGGGGCCATGACACTTCCAGAGAGGGATCAGGCTCAAACCCACTCTTTACCACATCACTGATCCTCTCTGGGCCTCCGTGTCCTCATTTGCAATAGGCTCACATTACAGGTTGGTTGTGAGGTTACATGTATGACACATGCAAAGTGCTGGGCTCAAGAACTGCTCAGCGTGTGCACTCAGTCGATGAAAGCTGTTGTTGATAAATACTGACCGAGCCCACAGGCTCCCAGATGGTGAATAAATACCTGCTCTGTGCTTCCCTCCAGGAGGGGCAGGTGAGGAGCTGCAGGTGATTCAGTCTAAGACGTCAGTCTCCATCAGTGCTGGACAGACGGCCACTCTGAGCTGCACTGTGACCTCCCTGACCCCAGTGGGGCCCATCATGTGGTTCAGAGGGACAGGGCCAGGCCGGGAGTTAATCTACAGTCTCAGAGGAGGCCACTCCCCCCGGGTAACAAGGGTTGCAGATGTCACGAAGAGAGACAACTTGGACTTTTCCATCCACATCAGTAACCTCACCCCAGCAGACACAGGGACCTACTACTGTGTGAAGTTCCGGAGAGGAGGTGGTGATGACACGGAGTTCAAGTCTGGAACAGGCACTCAGCTCACCGTGAATGGTGAGTACAGGGGCATCCTTTGTCCCTGGTGTGTGACAACAGTCATTAAAGATGCCCTCAGTTCTATGAACAACAACTAAGAGTCAGGTGCTTATAGTCCTGCTCTGATTCATGGTCTGATTTCACCCCGTCTGCAGACCAGGAAAGCTGAGGCCTGGGGATGTCATGCTATTTGCTCAGCCACCACGGCTGGTCAGTGGTGGGAAAAGTCTGGAACCCCCACTTGTCTGGCTCCCCAGCCCTGGCCTTTCAATCCTGTCAGGCCCTTGGTTGCAGTGATGAGGAGCTAAAGGTCTGAGTGACTTGCCCATCACAAGGCCAGACCTCACCCACCTCCAGGGAGTCCTCCCCTCAATGGGGCTGAGGCTCCTCCTTAGTGACACCCACTGGGCACCTGCTGTGAGCCAGGCTCTGCGCTGGGTGCTGAGGCAGCTGCAAAACAAAGCAGGCAAAGACTCTTCCCCTTGAAGCTTCTTTCTCTTCCCTCCAGTGGGAGAAACTCACTGAGGGCAGGGAGTAGAGAAGGTGCTGCTTTATCTCAGCCTCAGAAACATCACAGGAGAAGGAAATCCTGAGAGGCCCAGACTCACTGTTCACTCCAACAGCCCCGCTGGGAGGAGATGCCCAGAAGTGGGTGATCACTGTAGGTCTATCTGGAACCCCCCTTTCTTCCAGAATCCCAGTCGCTGTAATGCAGCCTCCAAGCAGAGTTGGGTCATCTCAGAATGTCCCTCACCCATGGGGAGGCTCCCCACGTGGGAGACTTAGGGGTCGTCCCATTGAGGCAACACCGTTCTCATTGAGGGTGTTTTACCAGAGGCCCAGGATCCTGAATCCTGGACTGTGAGCACGTGGGGACCTTTACACATCCAGCCTGACTCCCCATGTACATAGGGGCTCCTGAGGTCAAAAGGCAACAGGGGCTTTGCCCAAAGTCACATGGCCAGTGAATGAGATTATTCCAGAGCCCCATCTGATTTTACCAACATTTTCTAGCTTCAGAGACAGACACTCTATCCATCAAAAAGCCTGGTGAATGCAGGCACTGAATTAAAGTTCAGTACAGCACACCAGCACCTCTTATTTTCACTGGTAGCCAGAGCTTCACATGCCCATTACACTCACACTTTGTGGACCAAGGTGACTGGGAACCTCTCCCTGCCTCCAGCCACATCGCCCCAAATCGAGCATCCACATCAGCACCTAGAGCTGCCCCTACTTCAACAGCTGCCTCCCCTCCAGCCTGTGGAGACAGCATCATTCATTCACTGTCTTCTGTTGATGTGAGTTGTTCCCAGCCTTGGGCTATTCACACAGTGACACGGGATACCCTTGTATATGGGTCACCCTACTCAGAGGGAGGCGCCCACGGGAAGTGGCATTGCTAGGACACAGGGTGTGTGCATTTTAATTTGTGTGGGTATTGCCACATTCCCCTCCTAGACATGGTGGCAACAAAGTCTCCCCACAACTCCTGGACACAGGCAGGAAGGTGGCTTATCCGGATTTACATACATTACTAAGTTACCAGACTGTGTCCCTTGCCGAGGCCATCACAGGTGTCAGTGGCTCCATCACCACTCAGATCTGCTGCCTCTTGGTAGAGAGCTCCTGCCCCTTCCTGAGCTACTTGCCCAGGTGATGCCCTGACTGAGAATGAAGGAGGTGGGAGAAGTCAGGGGTCATGTCTTCATGGTGGCATTTACTCCTATAGACAGTGCTGCGAGGGAGGGCCATCTGTTGCCCCTTAATTAGATGACACTGATGCTCAAAGAGGGAACCCAAATGAGCAGGAAGGGGAGCTAAGACTTAAACCTAAAGCAGCAATAACAAAGCCCCTGCTCGCCACAATCCTACGCTGTGCTTGTCAAAATATAGAGAAAGCTCTAACACTTTTCTTAGAATCATGCATTTTTATGTTCCTCTGAAAAAAAAATTTTTTAAAAGGGTCCTCAGTGGAGGCAGGTCTAGCTTTCCAACTGAGAGGAGACAGACCCTCAAATGTCCCATGATAAGGCCTGAAACTATTCCTACAGGACATGGCTCTCCTATGGGAGCATCCAGGAGGCCTTCCCTTCTTACATCCAGCCTGACTCCCCATGTACATAGGGGCGCCTGAGGTCAAAAGGCAACAGGGGCTTTGCACAAAGTCACATGGCCAGTGAATGAGGAGATTATTCCAGAGCCCCATCTGATTTTACCAACATTTTCTAGCTTCAGAGACAGACACTCTATCCATCAAAATCAGGATTTACACCAAGCAATATTTTTTTACATTGTTAACTACCCTAACCCCTAATTACATTTTAAGTAGAGATGAGCTCTCCCTACCTCTAGCCACATCGCCCCAAATCAAGCATCCACATCTGCACCTAGAGCTGCCCCTCCTTCAAGAGCTGCCTCCCCTCCAGCCTGTGGAGACAGCATCGTTCATTCACTGTCTTCTGTTGGTGGATGTGAGTTGTTCTCAGCCTTGGGCTATTCACACAGTGACAGTGGGGATACCTTTGTGCATGTGTCATCCTACTCAACAGGGAGGTGCCCACGGAAAGTGGCATTGCTAGGACACAGTGTGTGTGCATTTTAATTTGTGTGGGTATTACCACATTCCCTCTTAGACATGGTGGCAGTGGGGTCTCCCCACAACTCCTGGACACAGGCAGGGAAGGTGGCTTAGCCCCGAATTTTCAGGTATTACAACAGTTCCCAATGGTGTGTCCCTTGCCTAGGCCATCACAGGTGTCAGTGGCTCTGTTTCTGATCTGCTGCCTCCTGGTAGAGAGCTCGTTCCCCTTCCCCCTCTGCCTGCTCAGCGAGGCCCTGGCTGAGAAAGCAGGCGGTGGGAGCGGTCAGGAGCCTGTCTTCCTCACGGCATTTCTCTGACAGCCAGCGCGGTGGCAGGGGCTCTCTGATGGCCCTTTTGAGAGATGAGGACGCTGAAGCTCAGAGGAGGACCTAACTGACAAGCAGGTACAGCAGCTAAGATTGAACCCCGAGCGGCCTCACAGCCCTGCTTTTTGCCACGCCCCACTGTGCTTGTCAGAGTGTGGAGAACACTCCAGACCTCTCTTTTTAAAATCTTGAATTGTTCTGTTCTTCATCAAGAAGCGTTTTACAAAAAGGTCCTGTGAAAGGCAGGTCAGCTTCACAACCCACATCAACATGTACACAGCTGTCTCGCGATGGGCTGACCCTGTTCCCAACCACATGGCTCAGCATAGAGAAGCATCCAGGAGGCCTTCCCTCTTTTGTGGAGCTGCCTGGCACAGTGGCCTGGACAGAGCAGAGAGGGGTCGCTGAACCCCAGCACCGCCGAGGTCAGCATCCCTGTCTCTGCAGACTGAGGGTGAGGAGGGGGCATTTCCTAGAGGGCCCTGCGGCCCCAGTGAGCAGGAGCTCATATTCTAGACTCACTGTCAGGAGCCCTTTCTCCCATTTGTTGCTGCAGGGCCCCCGGCCTGGACACTGGAGGGCACTCCTCCCTGGATCAGGTGGTGGTCAGGGTCAGGCTCCTGAAGATGGGCACTGGCTCTGCTGATGGATGTGAATACCTGGGAGGCCACAGGAAATACCCGTAGGGACAGTCGTGGCCAAAGGGATAGTCCCTTCCTTTCTCTCAGTTTTAGTTTTCTCATCTCTTAAATGGTGATGATCATGAACTCCTTTTAGGAGAGTAGAAAGGATTTGAGGTGCTCCGTCTGAATCACCCAGCACAGAGTTACACCCCCAAATCAGGGTGTTATGTCAGTGTCATGACCCAGTTAACTTGGCTCGGCTGCAGCTCCTCACCTGAGAATTGTGTAGGATAACGTAATACTAATAAAATCACTGATTAATCAAATATTGATGATATAATCCAATCTGCCTTTATAGAATGTTTTCAGATGAGCCTATTGAGAGGACAGACCCTCACTGAGCCACGGCATTGTCATCCCACAGCTGTGTGCTCTGGGCAAGTCTCTGTTTCCCCCAAGTCCTCAGTTTCCCCACTTGATGAAGAAGATAATCATCACTCCATTCATTAGTCTGTAAGGATTGGAGACCAGCTATGAACAGCCAGTGCACAAAAATGAGACTGACCAGGAATTCTGTCCCTGGGCCCAGACTGTGGGAAATCATCTGGAGGGAGAAAAGTTGACTTTGAACGCAGGCCTGGAGTTGCTTGTCAGCCCTGCCCCTCACTCAGAGTTCACCTCTGGAACATGAGTATCCTCCTTTGTAAGATGAGGACAATGACATTCTCTCCCAGCATTAATAGAAGGATAACACACAGTATATGGAAGGTTTGACAGTGCCACATGCTTGTGGTTAGTGGTGAGAGTCACAGTCATGTTCATTGTTATATTTTTACAGCCAAACCCTCTCGCCCTGTGGTGTCGGGCCCCACGGGCAGGTCGCCGCCTGGGCAGACAGTGAGCTTCACCTGCCAGTCCCACGGCTTCTCCCCCAGAGACATCACCCTGAAATGGTTCAAGGATGGGAATGAGCTCCCAGCCTCCCAGACCATCGTGCACCCAGAGGGAGACAGCCCTCCCTACAGCGTCTCCAGCACAGCCAGGGTGCGGCTGGCCCTGGGGGATGTCCGCTCCCAGGTCATCTGCCAGGTGGCCCATGACACCCTAGAGGGGGACCCTCCTCTTCGTGGGACTGCCAAGTTGTCTGAGGCCATCCGAGGTAGAGCCCCTCACACCCAGCCCAAGCCACACCTGGCCCCTGTCCTCCCAGCCTGCTCCTCCCTCTGCTCTTTGCTCCAGAGTTTTTTCCTGGAATCTAATTTCTGACAATCCTTCCCTTCACCAGGCACCTAGATGTGCTCATCACTCACCATGTCTAATGGCAGCTGTCAGGTGAACACCCACCACTGTACTTGGTAGTTTTATCTACTTTACCAATAGCAACGCCAATAACTGAGCACCTACTAGAAGCCAAGTCCTATGTGCTTGGCAATTTCATTTATTTTTCTACAGTTATAATGTCCCACTGCATGCGGGCTGTGCTTGTTTAATGGTGTCAGAGAAACAGAAGAACGTCACCTGCCTGGTGAGGAACTTCTACCCCCGGCGCCTACAGCTGACCTGGCTGGAGAACGGGAACACGTCCCGAACAGAAACGGCCCGGACCCTCGTAGAGAACAAGGATGGGACCTTCAGCTGGAGGAGCTGGCTCCTCGTGAATCTGTCTGCCCACAGGGAGGATGCGATGCTCACCTGCCAGGTGGAGCACGATGGGCAGCCGGCCATCACCAAAACCATCACCGTGGCGGCCCCTGCTCACCAGAAGGACCCAGATGAACCCTCTGGTGAGGCCCCCACTTTAACTGACCTGGCTCTGAATAAATTTTATACTTTTACTGTTATAAGGAGTAATTCATGCTTATTACAGAACAACCTAGAAGTCTATAGATAGAAAGTGACATTTTGATGTGAGCTCTCCTCCCCAAACCCCACACTCCATAGTCAACACTGGTAAGAGTTTGGTAGATACTTATAGATCTTTTAACATCAATAAACATTAAAGAAAGAGAGAGGGAGACCACCCTGTTCACAGTGTCCTGCCTCTTGCTTTCTTCACCTGACAGTCACCACGTTCACCGGCCACGTCAGCCCCTGCCTCCTCCAGCTCTTTCTAACCCCATTCCCATCTCCATTCCATCCTTGTCGTTCTCAACTGGACCAGGCACCCAGGTGGCATTGAATGGTCACAGCATGGGCCCCTGTTGTCCCCTATTTATGACAGTGAAACAGCAATCATAACAACTGCTCACTGAACAATTCCTACATGCACATTTCAGTCCTTTAAGATCTTTGTTGCAAATTTCAGTCCTTTAAGATCTTTGTTCCGTCACCCATGTTAGGAGTTTGGAGTTTTGCAGAAGGGACTCTGGGAGCAATGGAGGGGTGTTGGGAAGACCTCTTGTCGTAACACCAAATAACTGGGCTAAACTAATTGGGGTAATCTGAGTCTCAGAGGGCAGGCCCTACCAGCCTATAAAACACGTATAGGATAGAGACATGTTCCTGCTCAGGTGGGCATTGCCCATGGGCCTAGAGCAGGGGTGAGCAAACTTTTTGACTCGAGGGCCACAATGGGTTCTTAAACTGGACCGGAGGGCCGGAACAAAAGCATGGATGGAGTGTTTGTGTGAAATAATATAAATTCAAAGTAAACATCATTACATAAAAGGGTACGGTCTTTTTTTTCAATCGTTTTATTCATTTCAAACCAGCCGGATCCGGCCCGCGGGCTGTAGTTTGCCCACGGCTGGCCTAGAGAGTCCCCTTTTCTATGAACAAAACATGTCTTATTTCTCTCTCATGTAACATCAGGAAGGGGTTGGGTCAGTTTTCTAAGAGTCTTTACTCTAGAAGACCTTTCAAAGGCCACATTCTGCCCAACAAGTCCTATGCTGTTGTCCTCATCTGCTGGGTCCATACTGGGTCACCAAGTGTCCATGTCCCTGCCTGCTGCAAAGTAAACACAAAAGGAAAGGACAATTTCCCTTAAAAGAAGAGATATATAGAAGTTGCATAAATGTGCCCACTCATAACTTAGTTGTGTGTGCATATCTGGTTACAAGTAAAGTCCATAATTGTGCTGTCAGAGGATTAAAGACATTGGTTTTTCTACAAAACCAATACCTTCACACACAATAAAATTAACAGTAATTCCCTAATATCATCTAAAGTAGTGCACATACTGAAACTCCCAAATTTCTTTAGCTGTTTCTTTGTGTTCCAAAATTGGTTTCAATTCAAATATAAATACTTGGTAAAATCTTTCTGTGAAACTATGTAGGCCTTGAAAAGTCTTTGGGGGAATTGTCCATTGTAATTCAACTTCCTTAGTAATTTAGAGCTATACACATTATTCATTTCATATTAAGCGAATTGGGGTAGGTTGTGCTTTCTGAGGAAGTTGTCAAATGTCTGCCTGTAGAGTTGGTCATAATACTCCCTCATTATCCTTTTGATGTCTATATGATGTGTAGCGATATCATGTTTCATTCCTGACATTGGAAATGTGTTATGTCTTTCTTATTCTTTATCAAGCTTGCTGGAAGTTTTGCATTGTGTTGATGTTTTCAATGAACTTACTTTTTCTTTTATTGATTTTCTCCATTAGTTCTCTGTCTTCCATTTCATTGATATTACTTATCCTTTCTCTATGTTTTCATTCTATTTGCTTTGTGTTGGTTTCATTCTTCCTATTCTAGTTTCCTGAGGTGGAAAGTGAGATTACTGATTTCAAACATTTTGTGTCTTCTAATGCCACACCTGAGTTGCCCCTTGACCTTGAGAGTTAGGACAGTGCAACCTATGATGCCTAATGCCAGGGTTCCCCCTCCAGTCCTCAGGTCCTGAGCCAGAGCCTCTCCTTCCACCTCTCACAGCCCTCCTATGCTTGTCCCAGCTGCCATCTCTAGGGGTCAGAGTTGTTCTGAACAGGAAGAGCAGGTGAGGGGAGTCTCTGGCATCTTGTCTGGGCCACCTTGGGTTTGCATTTTAGTTTCTGTCCATTTCTGAGGCTCAGACCATAGCTGTTAATTACTTCCTGCAGCTCTCAGCGTGCCTGACCCAGCACACCTGCTAAGCACTGAGGCTGGAAATGGATTTTGGGCTTCTCTAGGTTGATGATCTGGAGCAAAGTGCAAGATGCCCATGTGACCCTCTGCATTGGGATGCCACAGCCTATCCCAGCGTCTGGTGGTTCAGGCCACTGCAGACCTGGCCAATGAGCTTGGCTTGAGGATGTACAGCATTTTGATCATTTTCATGGTCTGGGCTGTTTTACAATATTTCTAGGTGAATGAACCTCCCTTCCGTCAGGATAGCATAATCCACATACGTTAACGCAGACTTATGTTGTATGCTTGCTTTCAATAGTGGGAGAAATATTCTGAGTTCTCAGATGTTTCAGTTCTTTTAGTCTTTTAGAACTCTAAACTCCCTCCCCACCATTTCCTTTTCTTTTCAACACTTCTTTGCCACAAGGCACTTTTCCTCCTTTTTTTCCCTTTCCCACAGAAGGAGTGCACTTTAAATTGTGCCTGTTCTTTCCATCTCATTTGTCCTTTTATTTTTTTAAAATATATTTTATTGGTTTTTTACCGAGAGGAAGGGAGAGGGATAGAGAGTTAAAAACATCTATGAGAGAGAAATATCGATCAGCTGCCTCCTGAACACCCCCTACTGGGGATGTGCCCACAACCAAGGTACATGTCCTTAACCGGGATCGAACCTGGGACCCTTCAGTCCACAGACCGATGCTCTATCCACTGAGCAAAACCAATCAGGGCTCATTTGTTCTTTTAAAATGTCCCTGCCTTGCCCAGCCTCGGTGGCTCAGTGGTTGAGCATCAACCAATACACCAGAGGTCATGGTTGGATTCCTGGTCAGGGTACATGACTGGTTTGCAGGCTCGATCCCCAATAGGGGGTGTACAGGAGGTAGCCAATCAATGATTCTCTCTCATTATAGATGTTTCTATCTCTCTCTCTCTATCTTGCTCTCCCTTCCTCTCTAAAATACATAAAAATATATTGAAATCCTATATAGTAAAAGCATAGTATGCAAATTTTCCCCTCAACCCGGAGTACGTCTGGAAGTTTGACAAGGGGGTAGGGCTACTGGGAGAAGGGAGGGAGTCCCCTGCCAGAAGCCGCTAGGGCCCCCTACCAGTGCACAAATTTCATGCACTAGGCCTCTAGGGTATATATAAAACAAAATGATCCTGCCTCCTTGGATGAGGTTCCTATGACCACTGAAATACATTACCACACATTTAGTGCCTTAAAACAACACAAGTTTATTGTCTTACATCTCCAGAGACCAGAGGTCTACCATGGGTTGGCAGGACTGGGTTCCTTCTGGCTTTAGCAGAGAATCCATTTCCTCACCTTTTCCAGCCCCCAGAGGTGGCCCACACTCCTGGGCTGAGGGCCACCTCACTCTGAGCTCTGCTTCTATCATCACGGCTCCTTCTCCGACTCTCCTCACTGCCGCTTGCACTGAGTCAGATCTTTGTGAGTGAAAATGGCCCTGCTTGGAAAATCCAAGACAATGTCATTTCAATTCTTAACTTAATCAGTATGACTAGTTCCTTCTTCCAGGAAATGCAACATTTTCACAGACTACGGGGATTCAGAGGCAACATTTCGAACAGGCACACTTTAACCTTTTCCAGTGACCTATGTCCTGACCTGCGGACACTTCTCAATGTGTCAGATGCAGGATGCATTGAGTGTTGGTGGTGGCAATGTTCCCAAATAGCCCTCAGGCACCTTTGCCAGCTGCCCTTCTCCTCGTGGCTGAGTGAGGTGGGGTGGCAGCCTCCTGGCAGAGTGTGCACTAGGATTTGCTGGTTTTTCGGTTTTGACTCTTAACTATCTTGATGTTTCTCATTTTTCTTTTCTAGTAACAGGGAGAGCCAGTTGTGTGTGGAATTTCATTTCCCTTTTGTGCTTTTCCTTGGGTTTGGAGAGGCCCTATTTGGAGACCAGTAGCTGTGCTGCTGCCATTGTCCTCAGCAGCCATAGGGGACAGAAGACTGTGAGCACAATAGCCCATAGGTCCCTCTCTCAGGGTCCCTTCTTTCTTCATCAGGCGTCACCCTTGCTGAGCAGGCCCTTTGACCTGGAGAACTCAACCTCCTCTCTAGCTCTGCTATGCCCAGAATTATGTCCTTGGCCCACATCTCAGCTTTTTCTGCCCTCTGCCTCTTGAAGAAAAGAATCTGCGATGCCGTCAAGAACTCTGGTGGCTCACACTTAACTTTTACCTTGTAATTAATCACACTTAACTTCTCGTTGTTTTTCTCCAAATTACTGATGTCCCATCAACAGCGATCCAATCTTATAGTTGTTATGATAACCATTTGCCGACTCCTTTTAAAATTCTTAAGGTCTGTGTATTACCTCTACAGAGAACTGGCCAGAAGAATAGGCTCTGAGAGCTGTGCAAATGAAGGATAGGTTGCTGAGCCTTTAGGCTCCCAGTCCAGCCAGTCCTCTGCCACGGTCTGCCCGCTAGGAGAGGTGCAAACGTGGCAATGTCTCTCGTCCACTGGGGGGATGTCCCAGAGAGCCTCTCAGTTGAAGACTGCCGTTCTCCAACACCCCACAGGAAATATGGCGCGGCCTCCAGTGCCCTTACAAGGATTATTTATTTATGAGAAACCTTTGTAATTTCCTTATTTTTTTAATTTTAATAACAAAAACTTCTTGTAAACCTGCAGATCCGCATTTCTGTGTCCAAGAGAAAGGTATCAGCTGACATGGGGACTGGTTCAGGGTGGGCTGGGTGGAGTTGGCATCTCTCCCAAACTTGTGACCCCATTTTGTTGACTCACGAGGGAGCTTTTGAGGCAGCTGGTCTTGTGAGGCCAGGCCACTGTGGGTTCTCCCTCAGCTTCTGAGAACATGGGGTCACCCAGCCTTGTCTGGGGCGCCATCTAGGTCTGCCCTGTGACCCTCTCACTGAGAAGCCTGTCTCTACTCCTCTCAGATTCCCTGTTCCCTTTCATCACTATGTCTCCATGGGGTGGACTTGTCCTCATCAATAAGGAAAAGGCTCAGTGTCATTCGATGGAAAAAAGGATGTATTTTTCTAGCTTTGAATCTGCACTAATCTGAGCCCTTGTTAACTTTCTGAGCCTCAGTTTCCTCATCGTAATGAGAATAATACTACCTGCCCCATAGGGTGTGAGGACCAAGTCAGTACATCAGGCGCCACACTATGGGTCACTGAGTACACATTCCGCCCACCACCTCCGTCAAGGAGGACGACTCTGGCAGCCTACTAACAGGGTCACTGAGGATAAAGAACCTCTTTACCTGATTGCTGCCTCAAGCATGAGCCCATAAGAGCTTCAAACCTTCAGAGTGGTCATGGGTGTTGGTAGCCTCAGATGGAGTGAGTAGAAGACTCTGGAATGGTCTCCTCTAATGGCTTCCACTGTCCCTTGATTTGCAGGCCCAGCACTATCTACTCAGGTCTTCTTGGCTGTCCTCCTCGGCCTCCTAGGCTGCAAGGTGCTGCTGATGGTTGGTGTCTCTGCCACCTATGTCCACAGGCAGCGGAGAGCCTGCGGGGTGCCCTGGGGACCACATCTAGTTGAATTGATCGCCTGGGCTCCTTGGGCAGAAGGAACCCACGCTCACAGTAATGCTGAGAAGCCCCGGTCAGCTGCTCTGATGGCTATTCCCAGTCTGACGCTCTGTGGGACAGAGGGGAGGGGTGGGGGAGGAGGACCAGGACCTGGGAGGAGGACTAGGGGCAGAGTCCAATACCAGGGGCCGCGTGTGCTCTAATGACCCGCATTCCTGGAGAAAGACAGCCCAGGACATAGGAGACACGCAGGGAACTTTCCTGGAATGATGAGCAGGTAATTAAAGGCGGACACATTTCCCACAGCTCCTTCCTTTCTCCGCTGTTACATGCCACTCTCAGCTCTGCTGCCTCCTTTTTTTCCACGAAGGGCCAGCCCAAGAAAAAAGTTGACTAGAAGCTTCTATGGACTCTGCTCCAAATGCCTCCCCCGACCCAGAACTGCTGCCCACAGGCTCCTGCTCCTTCTCGTGGCCCCTGATGCCCCAGAGCTGGGTCTTCACGCAGGCTACTCTCAGACACACAGAACCCAAATGATCGCAGCTCCGCTATCCCATACACATGACTTAGATGGGATAGGAATGGGAAACGGGATGCTAGGAATTGAGGGCATTGAAGAGACGGTGACCTCAAGTGCAATCAGACCTTCAGGAGTCACCACTGACCTAGAAGCTGGAGGAAGAGAAAGCAATACTATGACCAAGTTCTGCAATTTGATAGTTTCCTACTCACATTAACTTAGCCATTGGTTAAATAATGGGTGTGCCTTTAAGAACTCTTTGTGGTTGCCTTTTAAGGATGTTATGTAGCTAAGGTACAGTGCTTTCAGGTAAGTTGAGGATTCCTGAAATATTTCAACTGGGGCAGGGGGCAGCCCTGTGTCCTGGCTGTACCAGTCTGAGGTTGTTCTTGTTGAGCTGAAGAAAGAAGAGGCAAGAGGATCTTCATTCAAATGCCACACACTCTCACTCTTCATGCCTGTCTCAGTAGATTTTCTCAGTATGGTTTTTTTTTCATGTATTGTAAAAAAAAAGTTCCTCTTAAAACACACACACACATGCACACACACAATTCCAAATTATCACTGTTTAGTATTATGTATAGAGATATTAAGTAATTTTTCATAATAGGTACTCAATATAGCTTGAATAAATAAAGAAATTAAGTATTTTCTTTCTGTTTTCTTGGTATTAAAATATGCTTTCTTCTGTGGAATGGCCTTTTCACTAACTGGTAGCTGATATGAAAATTATTTTTTCTTTCTTTTTCTTTTCTTTCTTTTTTTTTTTGTTAATCCTCACTAGGGGATATTTTTTTCATTGATATTTTTTAGAGATAGTGAAAGAAAAAAAAGGAGGAAGGGAGAGAGAGAGAGAAAGAGAGTTGTGAGAGAGACACCAATTGGTTGCCTCAAGCCCCACTCAGGGCTAGGGATTAAATCTGAAGCCCAGGTACATGTATTTGAGCAGAAATAGAACCCAAGACCCTTCTGTGCTCAGGCCAACACTCTAACCACTGAGAAATACTGGCCAGGGCTGAAAATTATTTTTCTTAATAAATATAGTATATAATTGTTTTACAAAATTTTTTTTACCTAGAATGACTAAGTGTAGAATCTCTGGATCAGACAACCCATTAAGACCACACAATCACTCACCAGACACTGAGTGAGATGTGCTCAAAGTCCTTTAGACAAATCGCAGGGGAGAAGTTCCGCTCTGAGGTCTTATAGGCATAGAAACATGGGTTCAGATACTAGAAAACACATACCAGCTACGTGAGCTTGAGCAACTCACTAACACTCTCTGAGCCAATTTCCTCCCCTGTGTGATGGGAAGCATGCTACCCCAAAGAATTGTGGGGCTTGAGAGGAGAGAGACATCTATGAGCACACACAGGGTCTGGAACAAGACTGTGTGATACAGACCCTTTTCTTCCTTTGCTCATTGGAACTTTCGCCCTCCGTGGTTTCCAGCTCGGTTAAAGTAATCACACCGAAAGCTTTTCCAGGGGCCTGGCTGCCTGAACACATTCTCAGACTTTTCTGGGGAAAATTACTCCACTTGTAGCCCAGCACCTGGATCCACTAATCTATTGGAAGAAGCAAGATCCACATTTGCTTCAGAGTTGGGCACATGCTTGCTAGCATGGGCAGAAACTGGAACAAACCCTAATGTAATGAAAACCAATCCCTAATATAAACCACTCCTAACAGTTGTTGTTCTTGTTGTTTTCAGAAGAGAACAGCAAGACGCCCCACAGTGCCTAAGGACCACCGGGTCAGACTGCTCCCAGAGCCATGCAAAGATGCAGAAAGCCAATTAATGACTCCACCAACCCCGATGGATGGCCGAAACCAAAATTTGCCCTTTGCCAGAAACTGTGTGCAGATGCAGGGGGCTCAGGAATTTTCACTTGGCTGGGCACCTAGATCTCACCCAATCTGACCCCACCCTCCAGGAACGCCTTTATACCTTCTGTCACCTTTCCCATTCCTTACCTTAGGTGACTTAGTTTCAACATGGTCCAATTAAGACCCCTGATTATAATGAACACATATGCAAATTTCTCCCTCTCATTAAATTTGCTCTGAGTCTGTAGTCCAGGGCGTGGGAGGAGACGGATCTGAGCCCTGTCTCTGTCTCCTAGTTTGGCAACTGGACGAATACATCTTTTCTCTATGAAACGCTCTTGCCTCAGACTAGGCTTCTCTCTGAGCATTGGGCATCGAAATCACTGACTGTGTTGCTACATCATGACCTGAGAAAAATAAGGTCCTTTTTCTTTAAAGCAAAACCAATCTGGTTCTATATATTGACTTAGGAGACACCTGACCTCAACTTTGCCCCACAGACTTACTGAAACTACAGCTACTAAATGCACAATCCCTGAGAAAGAAACCCAGAAACCGGCTGAGCAACTCTCAGACCTTGGACACACACACCAAAATCACATCCTAAGCAAATAAAAAAGATGAGACAACCTCAGGCTGTTACCTGACACAATATCTCCATAAACCCCACACCTGGCACAGTGACATATAATTGGGGGTGACACACAACTCCCAGCTTCTCCTTGAGGAGTGGGATTCAGACCCAACATTGAACTCCCCAAATTGTAAACTTCCCCGTGAGGGATGAGCCTCCAGATAAAGTATGTCTGAGAGCCAACAGGACTTGGGTCCACAAGGTCCAAGGACAACAGCAAAGCAGCAGTTCTCAGTGGCCTGTGTGGACTCCCTGTCGCTACCCCCCAGGTCTCACCGGGAGGCAGCAGAGAGAAATGCCCAGGGCCCAGTCTTTCCCTGAAAGAGGCCTATTTGCTTCTCATAAAGGTTGCAGCTGAGGGCCAGCTTCTCATCTAACACACGGCAGGAGCCAACCATCCTCTCCAGAGATCAGAGAGCTGAGAGGGTGTCAGGTCCACATGCTCCTCTGTGGCCCCCAGGTGGCTGGTGCCTCCCTGAGAGCAGCTTGTGCACAGGGTGAGAGCCCTGACTTGCAGCTGCTGCTCAGGAGACACTCCCCTTGATTGCCTGGCTCTTGCGGCCAGTGGGGCTTGTGTTAGTGGGGCCCACGGGATTGTAGAAAACAAAAAGCCAGTTCTTCCCTGGCTATTCCCAAGAGCTTAGCTCCCACCTCCCAGCCTTTCCTGATAGAGGTCTACATTCATACTTAAACGCTACTGCCTGAGG